GAACCAGTACTAGAAAATGCAGTCGAGAGTGGAATCATCCTTGCCTCCTGACACCACCCTGGCGCACTGAGACCATAGCGCTTGTACTCCTTCCTATAACGGGATTTTGCTGGCTCGTCTTTATTGTAGAAATTCATAGGAATTCTGCCCTACAGAGAAGATTTCTGCTTTTGCACATTTCTCCCGTTAAATGACTTCGACACAGTACATCCAAATATATACGAATATGTATACAAATCCCATTTTGTATAAATGAGTATTTTGAAGGTGGGGGGGGAGGAAGCGGGGTGATAACATATTCTGAAAAGTTCCAAGGCGATCGCCAGTTGAGACTAGTCTCTTTTCGAAGGTAGTTTGTTCTGCGCCGAGCAGGAGCATGGACGGTCGTTTTTGAAAAAAAAACCTACGGACACTCACCTATTTATACTTGAATAGGTGGGAAAAGATGGTTAAACGCTTTCTCGGCGACTTTTCGGATTAAAAGTCGTTCCCGCAGATCCCGTTCTTCTCCGGATGTGCGCTGAAGAGTATCAGCCTTACGAAACTGGGTTATCTATGTGATCTGAAGTCTCGTATATCTTGAAGTTTGCGAACAAATAATCGTAGGTAGTGCAGTGACAAAATGCGCTGCCTATGGGTTGCAGCTTATGTGGGACAGATCTCGCCCATGCCGACCGGTATTACATTCCCTGGGCTAATTATTTGATTGTGACAAGTCCTTAGATAAACATGGGTTAGCTCTCACAATTGTATGGACCAGCTTCCGCTTTGGGAGCCGAGTTCGTGGCTCACTCTGGAGGAACTAGTCTTTTCGACCACTATCCTTTATCCTTAGCTGGCGTATCCTTGTCATGTTTGTTTGTTATTAATGTTTAGAGGGGTTACATAACAAGCGCTCCAACGAAGTTCAACTTGCGTTCCGTATGGCCAACAACGTTTAGTTTACTTTCCTGTGGAAAGACGAATAGCAAATCAGCGCATTCCGCGATAATCGGCTGGGCGGTGACACACAACCACTGCCCTTTCAGCATTGAGGCGCCGCTTTTTTTTAATAGGAAGCGTAAGGGTTGGCCGCAATAGTCAGACCACGTTCATACTTCGCGACTTGAAAGATTCAGTCGCGCGACTGCGGC